CCCACTGATTTTTGTATCTCTGATCAGATGTGCAGTGGTGGAGGAAATCTCACTGAAAACGACCACAGAGCTTTCTGTTTTAACTCCCTAACTTGAGCCTGGATCATACAAAGCAAACCTTCCGAGCCTGTGAAGGGGTTTTTGTGGAGGAATAAAGCTCATTGTCAGCTGCCGGTGTTCAGACCCTTGGGAAATTGTGACCATTGTCTGGGCTATTATTGCTTAATAAAAGCTTTGCATTTCCTCATTCAGGGCCTTGAAAATCTGGTTCTGTGCTTTTAAAAATAACTCAGCGTGAGCCACAATTGGGAGCATTCACAGAGGAAATTCTTCAGCCATTTAAAACAAAGTGAGGGGAGGGAAAAAAAAAAAAAAGCTCTCCTTAAAGTGCTTTTACTTATCCGTGAAGAGTGAGTGTGTCCCAGCCTGCTTCTGCTATCTGGATGGAGCACAGAGGCTCTGCTCCTGCTTCCAGCCTTCCAGGATTTTGGGTCCAGTGCTATCCCAGCTGGGGAACATGGGCTGGGCACAGATGAATCCTCGTGGGATGTTGGACTTCTTGTGGATGAGCACCTCTGGACCCACAGTCACTGGTGGGGTTAATCCTCTCTGTGCTTGATGCAAAAAAGGCAAGGAAATGATTTTCTTCCTTTTTGTATCAGAGGTCACACCAACCAGAAAAGGTCATTTCAGGTAAATTGAAATGTGGCTGAAGGATGTGCAGGATTTTGGGCACCCACTCTGCAGGCTCTGTGGGGAAGGGGCAGAGGAGAGGGTGCTGTGGGCTCTGAGGTGTTCATCACCCCAAAATTGGCTTCCCTGTAGTTTTTGCTCTCCTGATTTGTGCTGGGAAATTATTACCCAGCACAGAAACCCTGAACTATTTTGCAGATCTGCTTTGGAGGCTTGTTTCTTTCCCTCTGTGTGTTCTTGGGTTTATTTTCCTTCTGGTGTGGAAGTAATTATGTTCCTTAGTTTCTTAAGTTCTGGCTCTGACTAAGAGGAGGAATGTACCCAGGTTTTTTTTATGTTGTGGTGGTGTTTTGTTTTGGTTTTTTTTCCAGTGTAGTTTTTGCTGTTAAAATATTCCGGACAGGAGTTGCTGCCCACGTAGAGCACAGAAATGTGTGTTTAGTGGTTGCAAGACATGCTTGCTCTGGGTGTGCCTCCTTGTTTTGTTCAGTGCCAGTCTCTGCCCGCATGATTGGCCATCGTTTATCATCGCCATCAAGCTGGGGAGATATAATTTACATTAGTAATTAGTGCTTTGTGCAGGCCAGAATTGGCTCCACTGGCTCTTGATTTCCTAGCAAGTTTTCTCTTTTGAGCTGTGTGTCAAGATAGAGACCAGGGTTGCCAAAGACACTTGATAGTGAAGAAGCCGACAGCTGAGATATTATCTGGGTTTTTATTTGTGATTGGAAATGAATTAACAGCAGAAAATGCCTCTTCCATGCCTCAGTTTCTCCACCAAAAACTGGAGGTTTGCCTGAGTGTGTTCATCAGCAGGAATTACTCTGCTCCCTCTTTCTGTCTCCTGGAGCAGCTGTGATCTGCACAGGGATGTGTGGGGACAAGACACAGCCCTGCAGTAGCTGAATTCTGTCACACCGTTGTGTAGTTCGGCGTTGCTTGAAATTTTATAGGTCATGTGCACCATTAAAATGATTTCCATGCCTGTGTTTGGAGATCTGCTGTGCCCACTTTCGTTTATATCCACATGAATGATCCAGGGCCATATGTTAAGAATATAACTGCTTTTAATTTATTATTTTTTTAATCTGCTGGTGTCTAAATACATCTAATAAAAATGCAGAGTGGGGCTCTTTAATGAGGCGTAAGTCAATCCTGGCCCTCTTTTTTAATTAGACAAAACTACCTCACACACTGGCTTCTTTTTGTGTGGACTTCTGCTTTGCATTTCTACACATTCATCATAGCATGAAGCCTCTGACAAAAGGAAATAAGAATAGACTGTTTTAAGAGACCGTTTTGCTGTGCATAAACCTGAACCTTTGCAAAGGGGAAAAATCCTGGGCTTCAGCGAGTGAAGTCATGGGCTGTGCATGAAGCTGTGTGATGACAGAAAGGAGAAATAAAAATTATAGTGCTGAGTAAGTTTAGTGTAGTTGTGAATTGTACAGCAAAGAACAGAAGCTCTTAGGAAGGGAAACATTTCCAGTTTTGCTCCTTGACTTTGCAAAATCACAAAATTCAAGCGATGGTTGGAAGTTTTTTGCCACCAAAACTTAATTTTGCTGGCACCCAGCTTGCTGGCTAAGGCAGTGGTGAAGGCCGTGAGCAGCAGCATTTGGGTGGAGGCTGGGGATGTGTGGCTGACTCCGATTTTGCTGCTCACGGGGGTCCTGTGGGTTTGACAGCTGAAGTCAGAGCACGGCTGTGAAATCAAACTGCTCACACGTGGTTGTAGCTGGGTGTGAAACCCTCAGTGGTTCTGGCAGTGACAGCGGGTCCAGAGTGGGGGGAAAAAAAGGAGATGTGCTTGGTTTGGAAGGGCCCCATCCTTTTCTCATTGCTCATGGGTTGGTCCTGCAGGGTTGGTGTGGTGACAAGGCCCAGGTTGGGGTCCCAGTCTCCTTTTGCTAGAGAGGACCCAAAACTTGCCTCACCAGGTTTATGGAGGAAGGGAAGGAGGAGAAGGGAGCCTTAGCAACTCCCAGGTTGTGATCCAGGACTAAAAGCCAGAGGTTTTGTGTATAGAACAATAGATCTGTGAGACAGAACATGAAGAAGATGCTGATGAGTTTTCTGAAATGCTGGCCCACGAGAAAAGTTTCTGAGAGAAGGTAGTCAGGGCTGTGGTTTTTAATTTGATGACCTCTTTCCACAGGCACTCGAACTTTCAGATCTAGCAAGGCTTTGCATAACAGGAGGTGCTTTGTTGACAGGCTGCACATTCACTCGTAGACACAGGGGCACAATGATAAATTATTTAATTATAGATACCCAGAGAACGAAACCAGGCACCCGCTGGGCTGCGTTGTCCGTCTGCTTTCCCACTTGGCATGGTTTCTTGCTGGCTGATTCCCAAAATCCAGCTGTTTGCAGCAGTGGTCTCGCAGTCATTAATGCTAATTAGCGAGGTTCTGCTCTGTGAGTGTTCCTGCACACACACAAAGTGCTCAGCTCCTCACCCGTGTAACGAGCCCCATTGTTAATTAGCAGCATCCCTCCAAGGGCTTGTGCTCCTCTTGGGAATGGGAGTTTGGTGTGGAGCTGCCTGTGGTAGGTGGAGCAAGTCCCTGCCGAGACTCACCTGCAGACCCTGCCATAGTTGAGTCGTCAGCTTTTTGCCCTTTGTTTTAATCTCAGCTTCTCCTCTGTGCATTCTCCTTGCTAAGCAGCACGGTTGCTAAGGTTAGTCCTTTTCAGGTTTGCCATTAGAACCTTGTTTTAATCAGTGCTGACAAAATCCTGGCTGGATCTGTGCTCCAGGTTGGGGTCAGATTTAAGCGTTCTTCCAAAAGCTTTGATGCTACAGGAACGTGGTGCTCCTTGTGCTGACAACAGTTTTGTGTCTCTGCCTCTTAATAACCATGCTGTAGTAACACCTTCTTCCTTGGTTTGCAAAACAGCTCCATTCCAAAAAGAAATTTCCTCCTGAAAATGTGGAAGTGCAGTTTGTTCTTGGCAAATCCAACTGGGGCTTTATTATGGCTCTGATTTAATGCCCGTGGTGATGGAATGCTCTCTTTGGTGGGGGAAGCATCTCTGAGAGGTAATTCTCTCTACACAAGAACATTCCCCTCCTATTTTTTTTAACACCAAAGGCAATAGAAGGGAAGAAGCTGTTAAATAATATGACTATAAATGAGAACCAAATTATACTTTAATTTTTATGTATGTTCAAGATAGAAAAGCAGTGTGAGATCGGGAGGTCTTTCCAGAAGAGGAGAGTTGTTCTTAAATATCTCTGCTTTGTCCCTAGGTTTATGTGTTCAGTATCATCCAGAAAACTCTTGGTTTTGCATTTGATTGTAATTTGCATTTAGATTGGCTGCCTGAAGGGAGTCTCTTGCGAGGGGAGATGGGGCTGTGTGGCTCCAGTCTCTTGCAGATCTGGCTGGAAGTAATGGCATTTACATAAAAACCATTAGCTCTGTTATTGATAAACATGAAAGGCATCCATTTCATTTAATTTTTTGATGAAGAGCTTTTAATATAAGCACACAATAGCACTGAGGTAGTACCATTCCTGCCCCTCCATCCCTCTGTACTGACCTCTTGTTTTAAGGGCAAGCTTTGATTGGGGTTTTGTTGGTGGAGAGATGGGAAGTTATTTCTATTCCAATTTACTGGAGTAGCCAGTTGTTGTGCTACATTGTGGGGAATTATTTAATGCTCGTTTTAAGAGGTATCTCTATTAATTGAACGGGGATTTAATGTCTCCCCAAAGCACAGTTGGTCTGTGTGTGATGTATGCTAACAACGTACGGCCACCAATTCTATGGATAATCTTTTCCTTAATCAAAATGGGTTTAAGCAGAACTTCGGTGGCACCTCATTAAAGGGATAAAGTGTGTTGAAACAACAAATGTATTAAAAAGAACTTCTTTGGTGCACTCCAGATCAGAGCCCGTGTAACCCTTCAGCACCGTGTCTGCATAAACATTTGTTCCCTTGTGTGTGTAATGGTGCTTTGGGGATCAGGACGTGTCACAAAGAGCTGTGATTCACTGCCACTGGAGTAACTGGCTCTCATGTATAAATACTTTGTTTTTCTCCTGGGCTGGCTCAGGTCTGACCTCAACAGCCTCCAAAGGCAGCCGGTGCTGCAGTTGTTTTCAAGCATCACAGCATTTGCTTGAGAGACCTTGCTGAGAGCTTTGCAAGGTGCTTTGAGTTCTTGACCTCTGCGCTGGGGAGGTGAGCTTGTCTGTTTTGCATTGATCACCTGGCCTACTTCTTGATTTAAAATTAGTTGAAGTTTTTTTTGGGTCACTTTATCTATATTTAGAGCTCTTTTTCCTCTCTAACAGGTTCCAGACAGATGAGTAGAGAGCTGGCTGCAGAAGAGGGACAGGTTCCAGTTTGTCAGCTGCTCACCGTGTACAGTGAGTACCTTCATTTTTCAGAAATAAAACTTTCTGAAGTGCCTGATGTCAGCCTCAAATTACCTCCACTGGGGCACAGCATTAAGCCTGCATGCTTGGACAGTGTTTTCCTAAAAGTACAAGCTTCCTTGGCTTAACTCTTGTTTTGGGAGAAGTGTGCTCCAGCTCCTTTTATCTGAAGTGGTAAATTGTGTCCTCATCCCACCTCCAGTAGTGGCAGAGCAGAGAATTGCTGCGGTTCCCTCTGGTACCTGCTCGGGGCTGTGGAGAAGCAACACTGAAGGTCTAAAGGCATCCCCTGAGGCTTCCTTGCTGCAGGGTCAGGAGTGGAAATGCTCCCCAGAGCTATTCCAGCCTTGTTGGAGCTGTTGGAACCGAGTGAGGAGGGTGGATGAGGGACCTGCCACAGCACATGCCGGGGTTGCTCATAAATGAGTGCTATGAAATCAGCTAAATGAGGCTTGGCTGGACTGGTGGGCGGAAAAGAGCAGGAAAAAAAACAGTGGAAAGCATTGTCCACTTCATGGTAAGGATGGCAGGTTTGCCCTGAAAGTGGAGGAGAAAATCTTTATTTCATGGGGAATTTTTACACGTTAAAATGTCTTGCATGCGTGTTAATGGGCTGTAATAATGAGCCTGTGCTTTATGAGGTGTCTGCAAACATCTTAGAACTCACAACTGTGAGGGAGTAAATACTTGAGCTAGTAAATACTGAGTAATTGGAATGTCTTGGCCCATGTGCTGCAGTGGTGTGGCCAGACTGAAATAGGGAATTGCCTGATACAGGTGCCTGAAAACCAGGAGGATTCTCGAGCACAGGCTGTAAAATTCAGGTCAGTGTGGGAGCTGCAGTAATTGAATTTATTGTGACAGTCCTAGCAGGTGATTCCCTAAGGATAACGTGGGATGATGAATCTTGAAACTGAAAGTGTTTGTTAACAAAAGTCAAGGATGAAATAATGCATTTGGGGACTGGGTTGTGTCATCAGGTTGGTGTGGCTGTAGCCAGGGAGCAGGGCAGAGGATTCCTGTGCTTCTGGGAAAGAAGGAAAGAAAGGCAAACTTATTAGTGCCTTCCTCATTTCTCCCATATCCAGCCACTCCATGCAGGATGTCCTGGGCTCAGGAATATTCAATCCTGTGTATTACAGCATTTCTTGTTGTGCTTCTGGATCCAGGACATCCTTGTGCCCTGCCAAACACAGCAGGGATTCCCCTCAGCTGGAACACAGCTCCTGTGAAAAATTCCACAGTGAAACAAAACTGGGAATAGACATGAGGGCACCTGAAGGACGAACGGTGCCACCGTGCCAAGGTCCTCATCGACAGCTCTAATCCCAGCGTGTGCTCTGAGCCAGATCTGCTGACTTGAGGAGCTGGAATCAGTCAATACCATTGAATTCTCCTTCTCTTTGCATATCTTAAGGAGCAGGAAGTCTCAGGCTGGCAGCTGTGCAGTCTGCACAAGGCCAGGGGCTGCACAGGCTTCCCCCAGGACATCAACATTTATTACACTGCTGCGGTGTGCAGCACTGACCTTCAGGAGCCCTTCTGGGTTAGAGGGCCTGGTGGCTGGAGGAATGAATGCAGGAGACAAGGATTTCAGGTTTGGAGTTCTTTTCAGGGTGGAAGACTGTGATTAAAGCAGGGAGTATGGATTTGGGTCAGTAGGAGATAGCTGAGGGAAGGGCTGTTTTTGGCAGGGAGCTGGGATAGAGGAGATGCTGGAAACTGTGATTGCCATGGAGCAGAATGGGAAAATAACCTGTTTCAAGGGACTCCTTTTTTCGGGATTTGTGGTATTGATGATTTTGAGATTGTAGAAGGTTTCTGTTTTTCAGCCCTGCCGCCAAAGAAGAAGTTATAAATTGTTCCTGTTGGTTTTTAAGGTTGTTTATTCTGTTTATCTCTAACATGTTCTGCTGCCCTGCCCAGCTCTGTCCTGCAGGGCAGCTTGTGGGGCTCTGCCCTCAGTGGGATGTTACAAACATTAAATACCAGAAACTCCCTGGGCTGGATTTACAATAACGTGCCAATATCTGTCACCTACGTTGGACAGTGTGTCCCCAGCCTGAACCAACAGAAAAATGCCAACACCACAGTGAGACATGGAGGGCATGAAGAAGGAGAAAAAGGACAAGACACACTTAATTTTTTCTCTCTTGTCCCCGTTGGACCCCTTATCTAGAATCCTAAAATTTTATTTTTGCACCCGTGCTACACTTAATTATTACTTATATCAAACACTTAGAGCTTGTAATTCATCCTGTAAGATTGAAAACTCTTTTCCATGGACAGAGATCACAGACAGTGTCTCTGGGGGCTCTGTCCAGGGGGGTTCCTGACCCCTGCCAGGGTCCCAGACCTGCCAGGGCAGCCAGAGGGAAGCTCTGGACTCCAACAGGAAACAGTCTGCGATTGCCATGGAGCAGAATGGGAAAATAACCTGTTTCAAGTGATTCCTTAACAAGCCATTCTTATGCAAAACTCTGTCCGTGACACTAAATATCTAAATAACCGGGTTGGGCCTGGGATCTAAAAATACTTTCAAGAGTCTCCTGTTTCAAACAGCCCCCGAGACTTCCTGGCTGGGCAGCGAAGCCAAGCTGTGCAGGAGTTGTGCAGCAGGTCCCTTCCTGTGAGGATGTGGCACCATCCATGTAGCAGCAGCGTGGGTCTGGTGCTTCCTGTGCTTGACACGGGCTCTGTGGCCTCTGCTCACAGCTGCAGGGGAGGAGAGCATGGGGCATGGCAGGGAGGGTTTGTGCTGCCTGTGCCTCCTGCAGGAGCACTGGGAAGTGAGGGGGGTGGAATTCCTGCTGCTGTGCCCCTCAGAAGATGCTGGAGACTTTCACCTGCTTCTTCAAAACAAACACCTGGGCTGTGGGAGGCTGGGTCTGTCCTGTCTCCAGCCATGCCAGCAGGAATGTCCTTCGCCTCCCTTCGGTTTATTCAGCTCTTGTGCTTTCAGCCTCTGTCTGTCCAGGCATTTCAAAGTTTAACTTTGTGTGGTGAACCACTTCCTTTTGGTAACTGCACCTACTGACAGCTCGTGTACTCTAATAAGCTCATATTTGGGGAATTGTCATTTGCATTTGCATAAAATTCTGTACATTCCTACTGTGTCCCCTGTCAGAAGCCTCTTTTCCAGACTAAAATGTCCTAATTTATTAAATGGTCATTACAAAGATGCTTCATGATTTTGGCCATCTTCAATATATTCATTATTGCCAATTTTTGGTAATTTTTTTCTCCTCTTGAGTGCTCTTACTAGAAAATTGAAAGAACCTTTGGGTTCCTGGGGTCCTGTCCTTTTGCTGCAGGAAACCAGGAATTTTGATGCTCCTTGTAATAATAAGCCATAGCCTTGTATTTATTTTTTTTTTTTCTAAAAAGCAGAGATTTGTGTGTCTAATCTAAAAACTCTATCAGAAAAGTTATGAATAAACCTGATAGCATTCCAGTGCACTTAGCCACTAGAACACCACGTTGTTAACAAGGAGCCCTGGCAGGCTTATGTGGCTTTGTGCTGTCAGCCAGGACATGGGATGCATCTTTGTATCCTGCAGCAATTTTGTGAAACTAAATATCTGCTGGTGTCTCCTGCATCTTCTAAATGAGGACAAGGTGTTAAACCCTCTCCCCCTCTGTGTTGGTTAAGAAATTATATCCAAATTGAGAATCGGTCTTATTTAGATAAATATAAATCAGCCATCAAACAGGTTCTGGTTCTGCAAGGGCAGGGCCTGGCTCTCCATCTCCTCTGCTTTGCATAAATATTGATTTTATCAGTGACTTCCAAAAAGTAGAGCTGGGATACGATGTGATGGAAGTGTTAGCACCAGGGTTGCAGTCCCAGGGCTGCAGGCTGATGTGCCTGGGGCTGACAGCTCTGTGGTTTTGTCTCTCTGCCCTGACTCAGAGCCGTGGCTTTTGTGCTGCCCCGAGGTGAGTCAGGGCTCCCACAGGGGTGATTAAAGCCCTGCCCTGTGGGCAGCCTGGGCAACTTGGGCCCCTGCTCAGCTGAGAACTCTTGGATGTTTTCCTCAGCGCTGAATCACAGCCCCCTGGACCATCCAGAACAGTTTTCCCCAGCGTTTGGGTTTATCTTCCACACCTCCACTGTTCTTTCCACCACTGTGCTTTTCTTCTCTCCTCTCTGCTGCCTTCCTGCCTTTAACCCCAAATTGTTGCCAGCTCTCTGCTCCACTCTGGCTTCTGTTCTGCACAGGGAGGCCAAAGGACCAAGTCCTTGTGGCAGTTCTCTCCCAAAGCAGCCCACTGGTGCAGCACAATCAGTTCATTGCACAGATTTGTCAGAAAAACACCAAAAGCTCCCCAAAGCCTCACCTGGCCTGCCAAGATGTGTCACCTGTGCCTCGACCAGTCCTGAACCCAGCTGGGGATTCCTCCTGGACAGGGGACACCACGAGGAGGACAGAGGGAGAGAAATACATCCAGAAACCATAGGCTGATTTTCTATCACTCCTCAGGGCGTCCCATCCTTCACCTTCATGGTGAAGGATGGAGGTTTTTAATTTTCCTTCCCTTCATATATATATATACACATGTATATATATAAACCCCATCAATTTATATTAATGGTCCTTCCTCATTCTTCTTTTATTCTCGTGTATGTGAAGTTGCACTCAGCCAGCCTGCCAGCCCACAGCCAGCCTGCAATAATAATTTCAGCTGTAGTTTAGTAAGGTAGTAAATTGAGAGTAATTTTTAATCTGCTTGGGAGAAAAACAGCTTAATTGGCTGTTTCTCCTGGTGGTTCCAGCATTATTTTTGGCCTTTGAGGGTGTAAATGGAGCAGACATTGATCTCCCTGAATGAGGGGTCAGCTCTTCCTGGACAGCACTGGAACACTGCATCTATTTATTTCTATTTTACCTTTTTTTAGTACATTGCCTGAATAATACAGCCAGTGTGGAAAGGGCCTGTAAAATGCTGAGTTGTGTGGTGGAATTTTGCTCTGCCCGAGTAAATCCCTT